TCATTTGATCTCAGCAGTATTCCTGCCCAGAGCAAGGGGGGATTGGATTCAATGATCTTTCAAGGTCGTTTTCAGCCCTTATTTTCTACGATTTCTCTGACTGAAACCAGTGGTAGTATTCCTACCACAGATAAGCCAGTGCAAAATGACAGCTCAATGCACTCCTTACCCACACGTTACTTGTGCTTATACATTCTTCACAAACACCCATCTTCAACCCATATTACCATGAGATATATTGTACTTGGTTGTGTGGCTTTCAGTGATGTTACTGTATGGCTGCCTGCACAAAAGTCAAGTGCACAATACATGTCCCTAACTACCACACAATTTAGAGCGATTCAGGATAGCAATAAGAGCCATGCTTCCCAGGTGTGCCTTCATGGGGATCAAATGCCAAAGGATCTTCCACCCAAAGAGTAAAGACTTATAACTGCATACTCTTGCATGATAGTGCATAGTTCTGTTATTTTAAGCTTTCTTTTCTCTCTGTGGTTAGTTTCCCTGAACTACTTGCAGTCCTCATGTTCCCTAGAACCTCTGCTAGCAGCAGCATGGTCCAATAACCAGATTTAAACTCATTTCCCATTACAAAAAAACCCAAACAACTTAGGGATGTTCATTAATTACAAGCTTAGCTTCTACTAATAAACTGCGAGTTAAAATAAGCTGTTCCTGAAATGGGAAACCTCAAGTTTTATCCCCAAAATCTTCTCCCTATACTTCTCTCTCCAATCTCTTCACAATGTCTCGGCACTTGTTGTTGAATACAGATGATTTAATTAGTTATAAGAATATGCTGCCCCAGGGATGAACTTTCCATTAACTACAGGTGACATCACTGAAAAAACCAGACCAGCCAGAACGAATGCATTTGTTATCTTGGACACACTGTTGGAAACACCTTTAATAAAGGTGGCAATATTAGACTGAAACACTCCTCTTGTAGTTGATCCAACTCAGGATGTGCAAAGAAAGTTTCCATGACTCAGTGCAGATACAGAGGTAAGAGTGACGCTGAGGCTGTGTGCAGAGCAGTCCTTAGATAAGAACCTTAGAAGTATCCAAGTTTGGGTGAAAGACTCGATATGAATGCCATTGTTATTTCTACATTAATAAAGCCAAGGTTCAGGAAAGGGAGAAAGTTTTCATTTGGTACAGCACATGGAATATGCTCCAGAGCACATTGGAAAAAGCTTTTTGACATATGTGTTATGAATGGATGGAGCGTAATACTATAGTAGAAGATATAGAGGATGGGGGTAAAGGGGTGAGAGGAGGGGCACAGGGGACTTACTGAGATTCAGCTGAATCCACTCTAAACATTTCGTCTGTCTTTTCTATCCTGTAAGTGAATGCTAAATTGCAATAATTTACTACATTTCATTAAGGGATAACATCAAGTCATTTTAGTTCCTTTCTGTGAGATAGGAGAGATGAAACAATTACAATGGATTGGATGTTCATAAGTAATAAGCTCCTCTACCTCACTTTTAAAATAGGATATTTGTTCATTTGTGAGGCCTCATCTATATGCCAAAGTTTTACCAATTATATTCATATAGTTATACCAACGTAATCCCACACAAATGAGCAATCTTACTTTTGTGCTAGAAACTCAGTCTAAATACCTTCTTAAAAGACAAACGTAACACATCTAAGCTGGAATAAGATTTTCCACATTGGGTAGTTATAATAATATAGCTGTATTGATTTACATTCACAATTTAGCCTGTTCTCATGGAGAAGTGCAAGGCCTAATCAGAAAGCCTGATTGATCTCAAGGTACTGATTCGTCTCAATCGACTGCAGTCTGGGACAAAGCAAAGGGAATAGGAACAGTGTGGGCAAAAAGCCCTCTTTACACTGTGTGGAATAACTGCTTGTAACAATTTCAGATCAGTATGTGCAATCTGACATGAGGA